TAGTAATAACAAAACTTTTTATGATCACGAAACTCTAATATCTGTTGATGATTCAAGTAGAAAATAGCAACAATAATATCATCAATGCATATTTGTCAACGATGCTAATGTAGTCCTTGATATCGTCGGCAAGCGTCGACGGCTTTTTTGTTGATCACTAACAAAGAAGCATCTATTTTTTATTCACTTTTTTTGAAAAATAAGAAAAATAGAAAAATCTTAATTTATCGACGGTATATACCAAAAAAAAAAAAAAAAGTGAAGAAAGACAAAATGCTTCGTTAGTAACGATCAGCGAATTGAAATACCGTCAACCAGTGCCAACTATATTATGAACAATATTATCGTAGATAATTGATAATGGATATGTAAATAATGAAATTTTAACCGAAACCTCCAACAAATATTGTTTTTTGGCATGTATCCTAGATAATTTTGTCCATAATAATTTTTTTTTCTATTTAATTATAAATCATAACTTAATTTTTCAAGCTTCAAAGACACGTGTACGAAGATTGCCATGTACATGTAGTTGTAGATTGTAGCTTATTTAAAAGTTGTTCACGTTAATATGCGACACTTGTCATCATTCTTCGTTTGACAGATATACTAGGGGGTCAAATTTATCAATGGCACCCAACTTTATATTTAGTGTCGCCATGGTCGCCCGATTTCATATGTTTAATTATAAACTACTCAATTTCGTATAACGTTTCATCATAATCACACAACATCTTTTCACCATTTTTATGAATTTTAAAATAGATAAAATAGTAACTTTGCATTATATATAAAATAAATTTTACAAAAAATAAATTTTTTTATTTTAATTTTTTTTAAATTAAGTTTTATTTTATTTTATTTTTCTAAGTAATTTTTTTAAAAAATAAGTTTTTATTTTATTTTAAAAATATATTTTTTAAAAAATAAGTTATTTTATTTTTTAAGGAACGTTTTTTTAAAATAACTTTTTATTTTATTTTTCGCAACTTTTTTAAATAATTTTTTATTTTATTCTTTTCTTTTCAGTAACATTTTTTTAAATAATTTTTTTATTTTTGTTTTTTTAAATAAATATATATTATATATATATAATGCAAAATTATCGTTTTGCCATATGGTTGGACAAAACTCACGAACCGAATCGGACTCGAACTGAACATAACTGAACCGAATCTAACCGAGCTGTTATTCTTAATTTAAATACCTAAACAGGTATCTGAATCAAGAATTGAGGGGGTTGATTCGATTCTCGATTCTAGACGAAGAATTTGAGAACCGAATAAGAACATAATCTCTCTAACTTTTTTAATTTTTTATCATAAATAAGTAAAATTATTTTATTTTTTAAATAAATTTTTGCTAATTAATTAATTTAGTCCAAACTCAAAATATGATTTTACTATTTCTAATTTCCAACCAAACGCAACTTAATTAAATTGATCTAACTTTTATCCAAATATCTTATTCTACCGTAGTGTCGTTTCTATCGTTCTATTATTCTGAACGAGTCATCTTCCTTTTCCTATAATGTTATCAGTCAAATATATGAAGAACTCAACAAAGAGAGATGTTAAAGATATCACGAGTAGGGCTGTACATGGTCCGGTTCAATTCTGAAGATAACCACACCAAACCAAAATTCTCGGGTACTAGTGGAACCGTCGAGTCTAAATTTAATTATGGAATTGAATTCAGTTCAGTTCTGTTCGGTTCGGTTCTATTTGGTTCTGGAGTTTCGTATAATAATTAATTTTTTTTATATTTACAACAACGCTACATTAGTTCGACTATGACATGTTCAAAATTAACTCTTACAAAATAATATAATCCAATCTGGTAATATTTTTTTCGCATCTCTTTGTTGAGTTCTTCAAAAAATTGACTGTTAAAATCACAAGAGGGAGATAGTCAATTCACAATAATAGAACATCAGAAACGACACTACAATAGAATAAGAGATTTGGATAAAATTTGATAAAGTTGGGCTGTCTGAAAATTAGAAATAGTAAAATCATATTTTACATTTGAGTTAAATTAATTAGTTAACAAATTCATTTTTAAAAAAAATAAAATAATTTGATTTATTTAAAATAAAAAATTAGAGAGATTCGATTTTTCGGTTCATGGTTCTAGACGAAGAACCGAATCTATCGATTTTCGATTCAAATACCCATTCAGGTATTTAACTTAAGAAGAAATGCCCGATTCGGTTCAGTTCGATTCAAAAGTTTTGTTCAGCCCTATTCATGAGATTAGATTACTTTATTTTGTAAGAGTTAAAATTAAATATGTCATAATCGAATTAATGTAGCGTTGTTGTAATATAAAAAAATTAATTATTGTACGGAACCTGAGAATCGAAAAAGAATCGAACTGAACTGATCCGAATGAAACCGAACTCGAACGATTCCATAATTAAATTTGAACTCGACATTTCTATTTACTAAATCAAACTAAAAGGCCATGGTGACACTATGTATAAAGTTGGGTGGTCATTGATGAATTTAATTCATCATTAAAGTAAATTACAACCTTTTCTTTTTCACATTTAATTCCTTCTATATTTCGAAATAACAAAAAATCACATTTATAGGTGTAATTTTTACCCCTATTCAGGTCATCAAAAGCGAATATTTGAAAGTTAAATTGAAGAGATTACCACTTTATTAGGTTAAATATTGATGAAAAGGTAATAATCGATCGAAAAGGGAGAATCCCAAAGTTTAGGACTAAATCGTAAATGTTCAAAAGTTAAATTGGACCAAGGACTAAATAATGAGGATTACACGAAGCAAATTCGATGAAATTAGAAGATGAATGGCTGAACTTGTATGAAAAAAAGTGAAGAAAGAAGAAACGTGGGGACCAAAATGAAGAAAGAGGAAATTGGGGGCATGGGCATGCGATCGCAACACCATGTCTGGTAGAGGCAGATGTCAGACTTTCTTAACGTTGCGATCCCACAAAATTATATGTTGCTATCGCATGGTCTAAAAATTTGCAGATGGGCTACTTTCTTTATCTGATTCAACTACTTTTATATAAATCACTTTGGACGTGGATTTCGACCTAATTATGGCCTCAATAAACTCAGACCTTCAGCCATTATTGGAGGAGACCTCTCATATCACAGAGGCCAAATACCATTCTTTGTAGAGTAATAAAGAGGCAAGATATAAGAAAACAATCTTCTGAAGACTAATTCTTGGTTTTTCAGAAAAGAGGAAGAATGTATGAGTGTAGATTGTCAAGGAAGATTAAAGAGATTGAAGATTTAGATGCTTCTCCTCTTTTTCTTCATATATCTCAAATTCGGGTATTTTTTACTATCCAATTTTAGTTTTTTTGCAACTTTGTAATGTTGGACTAAATTTTCAGTTGTCAAGGTATAGATGAACACTTATTATGAAATGTTAATAATAATTTCAATATTTATTTAACCCTTGACATTCAATATTTATTTAACTTGGATGATTGTTATAATGTTCAGTGTTTTTTTAATTACACAATCATTAATTGGATTAACCTGTGATTTTTTGTTATATTCGTGAGAAATAATAAGAAAGATAGCACATTATAAAAATTGTTATGAGGTACGATAAAGAATAAAGATATACAGCTATGTCTTGCAAGATTTTAATAAGTGTTCTAGTAATTTTTTTTTAATGCATTCTTTCATATTCACAGCTTTTATAAAGAATAGTAAAACGCACGTGCATAGTATAGTTGGCTATATGATAACATAAATATTAAAAAAAAAAAAAAAATCAAAGTGCACATCAAGCATGACACCCCCTCACAATTGGTGGGGGGGGGGGGGGGGGGATTTTTCTCTCGGTTCATTTGGGGGAAGGGGGGATTCGGTTAGATTTACGTGAGTGAGAGTTNCATGACATAGATGATTAGGTGTTAATACCATGTTAAAGAGATAATGAAGTTCAACATAACACTCATTTTTCTACCTATTGAGATAAGGCATTATGAGCCTGTTTGGGAGCGCTTTTTAAACCAAAAAAATAACTTTTTGAATCTTTAGAAGTAAATAAGGCAGACATTGTTGACTTTTGGTCTCACATGTGGGACCCACTAGTTGAAAAAACTGTTATTTTTAGCTTAAAAGCTGCTGAAAATTTCTACTAGATAAGTCATATATCTCATTCATTTCGTGCTCATATAATATTCAATTACATATATCAGTTGCACCGGTATTTAATTTCTTTATCAAGACCAAGACGTATGTAGCCAAAACTAATTAATTAATGATAATGTAGTGCAGAATTTAGGACAAGGGTCTGTATCAGTATTAAAACAACAACACAACGAAAACTTCCATCATAAAAGTAAAAAGAATGACAAACGATCACTCAATTTCATCAATTCCGTTGGATATCTTTTCAGCAAGTTCTAATGATACTGTACATTAAATCCATTTAAAAAAAATCAAAATAATCCACTTCATAGAATATGTTTGTCTACCAGCATTGCATGATGTATGAGGATTCTTCTGAAAATCATTGCATTCCTTCAATATCCATTTTGACGCCATAAATTTACCCTTTTTAATCGTAAAAATTGAAGAAAAATGAAATTGAGAGAAATTGTTGTGAGTATGGGGGTTGAGGGTGGGGGTAGAAAAGAAAAATTAACGATTATGATTTTAAGTTTAATAATTTAAGATAATTTTTATATTTGAACTTAATCGACAATATATTTATTATTATCACATTTTAAGTTTTTTTTAAAAAAATTAAATCGATCTAAATAGATATTCATATCGTGAATATCAAATCAAACGGAAAATTATAGGAAAATAGAGTTCGAAAAAAGGACATTGGAATGTGGTTGTGATTGTGATTGAAAATAAATATAAACAATCACGATTTTACGATGTAAAATTATTTTTTATATTTAAAATTTATCGATCATATATTTATCATTGTCGCACTTCAACATTTTCAACAAATTTTAAGTCGTTTAAAACGAATATTTGTAACTTAAACTATTGAATCAAATGTAATAATAATAATAATAATAATAATAATAATAATAATAATAATAATAATAAAGCTTAACCGAGCCGAGCCGAGCCGAGCCTAGCCTAGCCGAGCCAACAAGAACAAATAAATATTATTATGATATTATGATGTAGTAAATAAATTAATACCGGGAGATTCAAAGTCTTGGTGCATATTTTAATCGGTTTTTCAAAAGTTTCCTTAAATTGCTCATTAGTTTAGTTAGATACTTAATTATAGAAATCCATAAGCAAAGCTTTACTATTCGATTAGAGTTAATAATAATTGGAACTAGATTAAGTACATAGACTCCGTAAGACAATACTTTATTCACTATTATATTACTTATCTACGATACCCTTCACTCGTTGAATTTCGTCGATCACACGTGAAAATGGAAACATATTGAGGTAGACTTTCCATTTCTTGCCCCTAGTCTTGTTGGGTTAACAATATCGATTAATTCTTCTTTTGGTCCATTCCTTAATGACAGCGGGGCAGGGCAGGACATAGCGGGGTGGGGCAACCTCCCCCGCCTCGTTACCCGTTTAAGGTGGGACGGGGCGGGGTCATTGCTCAGTTTACTACTCTATTTATTTTTATTTTTTTTACAAGTTTTTGATAATTTATTTTTATTACCCCCCCCCCGCCGCCCCGCCCCCCGAGGTAAAATTATTCGTCCCGAATACCCAATTAAGTGGGTTATTCCCGTCCCATTCGGGGCGGGACCCCGCGTGTATCGAGTTTATCGAATTTTTTTGTCATCCCTATCGGTACACCAAATCACCAACATGAGATGCAACATCCGAATTATATTCCTCAAGTTTAAACACTAATAACTTGAACAATCTCCCATCTCCTTATCCAAAGATCCATAGTTAAGATACCCAAGTTACTCAAAGAAATTAAAATGTTATGCAAAAACCAAAATTGAGTTTGAATATGTGTCGATATACCATTAGAAGAGTGTGTATTTGGGCAATACTAGAATGTCTTTTATCAGAAGGTTTGTTGTTTTTATTGAAATGACAGGGGAACAATCTGATTGAGGTGAGCTAAGGGTAATTACATTGCCACCATGATTTTTGTTTTTCACACCATACTTTTAAACATTTTTCATACTTACAAACATGGTCTTAAGTACAATGTCATAAATAGAGACACTGTCAATTTTTTCTTCTTTTTTTTTTTACATAACACGTCTATGTCTGTTCCACCACACCACAGCTCCACCAATTTTGAAACATTTAGTCATTCTATTACCAGATAGAAGTTCAATTTCATTGTCTAGCTTTCATTCATGCTTTTTGGCTGCCAATTCCTTCTTCTCTTTTGGCTCCTGTAATGAAACCCGGTAGTACCGCTTCCTCGGCCTTGACCCTTGAATATAACAAACCCAATTATTAGAAGGCAAGTTTCGCAGAGTGAAAGCATGTAAAGTGGAGTTTTTCTTCTAAAGACGTTCCTACAAGTGTCTCTTTCTTCCAAGAAATCCAAGAGAAAAATTTGTTATGTTTCAGCTTCGGAATTATCCTCCAAGAAATAGACCAAACGAGATAAACAAAGTGTTTCGAGGGTTTTCGCTCGCTAACAATTAAAAAGGGATTAGACGATTATGTAAGGGACAAATCTCTTGAAACAAAGTCACAAAAATGTATGTTTATTGAATATGAAGATTACAGTTTGGATACAAACAAGATGCCTCCAAGGGGCGCAAGCACACAAGTACAAGGGAATTGAAGTAATTAAAAAGTTAATCTAAGAAAAGTAAATTACATGTTCTCTGTTTTGAGAGTGAATTTTGTTGGGGCTGTTTTCGTAGTCTTCCTCTTTCTTTTATACGGTTTGGGCAGTTCTGATCGTTTAGAAACTGCTTGTAACTACCCATTTCCTTCATCATGGTAGGCTGGTCAATAACTACCGTGTACAACTCCTATCACCACGCCCTCTTCATAACTACTTGCCATCAACTCTCTCAAATCGTGGGGCGTAATTATGATGTGCTCAAACCGTCTTAGGTCGTGCCTTTGGGTAACACCAAGCTTTAGTCATTGCTGGGACTCTGGGCGACTCAACATTCTGAATATTTTGTGTGTCAACACAAAGATTAGTGGAAGACAATACTTTTAGCAGCAAAACATCACAAGAATAGACCTAATATCAAGAGATGCTTCAGTGGCATCAGTAGCACAAAAATAGGTATTTGCACCACTTTGAGCATTCATAATTTGATTCTAAGTTCATGTTGCTACAGCCTACACAGTGTAACGAAAGATATTTTAGTTTCCTTTTTTTCCAGACGATTTGCAGATTGGTCAAAAGCACCACATACCTCATACTCGGTTGGTGGTCCTTCAACAGCAAGAGTTGTAAATTAGGAGGTTGTCTTTTGAATGAGAACGATGAATAATCGAAGTATGACCCTTATATAACCAAGAATATGTAAAACTTAACAAAATGTTCACGAATCTATCAAATTCCATCAATTTCATTTTTCAGACAATTTACTTTGACAAACAATTTTATAGTATTATATATATTACAATCTATAATCCACTGTTATTCAATATTCTTATCATATATATATAAAACCTATGTTCACCACGACTCGATCCTATTCCTAGTCCGAATTCGTATGAAAAACATGCATTGATTCATATAATTCATCACACATGATCGCACACGCTATAAATATTATTCTTAATACATATTTTTCATGTGTTGATTTTGCCGTGTTCTAAACTTATTACCAAGACAACCAACACTTAGGTATTTATAAGGAACCTTTCCCTAACCATAGTTTTTGTGAGTATTCTTACACTACAACAATCAATTTACTACCTAATTGGTGATTAAGCAGCCAAATAGTTGGATGGGAATACAAAACTAATCAAGAAAAAAAATTAAACTAATTGTTTTGAATTAAATAAAACAAACAATATGGTTCATCATTCATTCAATAAATGGAAAAATTAGCCCATTATCCTATTAATCAAATTATACAAGATAATATGGAAAAAAAATACCCAGATCAAGAAAAGATGGAAGAAAGTGAATGAAATTTTGATTTTGATTGAATAATCTTCAAGAATTTTGAGTAATTCGTCTTTGTTTGATGATCAAGCATCGTTTTTCGCCTCCAAAATAGGTAGAATATAGAGATTTTTAAGTCTCAAAAGATCTCCCACATTTTGGTTGAGTTTTAGCATTTAAAGGATGCAAAAAAGATTGTATTGAATTGTTGCTAAAACAAAAATAAGAAAAAATGATTGTTTCCAGTTTTATATTGAGGAGCGTGCACTAGTTTGCGCCTAGTACAAACTAGGGAGCGTGCCTGAAAACCATTAGTAATCCCTAGGCATCTCAAATTAGGAGGAGGCGCACTCTTGTCCAGAACAATATTCAGTATTTTTGTTATAACTTTCTATTCCGATTTCTGATCGAGTCGATTCAAAGTGTGTTGAAATGCTAATTCAAAGGGATAAAATTCTTATTTAGATATCATTTTTCAATTCGAGCGTTTTCTATTCCAAAAATGAGCTTCAATCTGAGCCCTTTCTATTACATATCCATTGAAACTAGTATGTGGTTGCTTGGATTGGCATGGTTGTTCCCCTTTGCTAGTGGAGGCTTGGCCTTTGACTTCGAAAAATCTAGAACATAACTCTTTCGGCTAGAAATTGGTGTTTGATAATACTTTCACTATATTTCATCCATTTGACTTATTTTCTCATCCAATTGACACCTAGTACTCTCGAATCTTTATTGTGAGTCAGTTGCAACTTTTAAATATTTGCACTTTAGTCCCCGAACTTTGAATTTCTTTCATTTTTGCCCTTTTCCGTTCTTTCTTCCAATTATTCACCCAAACATGAGTTTTTCATAATAAAAGCAATAAATAACAAATTAGGCACTAACAAATCGAAAAAATAATAAAATATCATTATTTAGGACCCCGAATAAGTGTAGAAACTACACTTATCAAACCCTTAAACTTGAATATTTACTTTTCCTCAAACAAAAATAAAACCAACTATAGAACAAACATGCAAAAATATTTAGTTAGTTAACCCGACATTTTATCTTAGAATTAAAATCATGACATTAAATCTGAGAACAACTTCAAGATCACAATATAGAAATCAAAGTCTACTTTTTCAATGCAAAACTGACTTGTATGTGGAGAATTAAGCATAGTAACATGAATTCACAAGTTGTTCCATTCCCGACCCTTAATGGTCAAATATATTCTTATACTTATTGGTGAGATTCACACACCCCCAAATTTGTTATTTTTGCTCTTTTCAAGTGTGTGATTTAAGGTTGAATTTTGTATTATTCCCACCTCTATAGTTTAGGTAAATCTCACCAATTGCAGTTCAACATGTCAATAAATAAGGATTCTCCATGAATTTGATTGTTTCAATTTCTAGAACTTAAATAGGATAATAATTCCTTATCAAAAGTCGAATTACCGTAAATAAGTTTTAGAACTTAAACGAAGCATTCGCACCGTCATTTGTTTTACGTACTTACTTTTTTCTGACTTTCTATATTTTTTTTCTCAACATTTTTTTCTTTATTTTCAACATTATCCCTCTTAGGCTTTCTAAATGACCCATATAACAAGTTTTAGGCCGATAACTCTCAAATTAGTTGACTTTAGGACAACATATTTTAACAGCCTTACATGCTTAATAACTCGAGTCATAAAGGCTATAAAGAGAAATTTTTAAATAAAATGTGTTTTTTTTTCTTTTTACTTTGATCAGTGCAATGTCCCTCATTAAACACATATCCAAGTAAACTGACCTCTAATTTAAGACTTTTGCTCAATTTTATTCTACTAACGTTAGACAATCCACACAAGATTTTTAATTTCACACATTGAATCCCCATTTATCTCAACATTTTCCTACAACAATGAAATCACCTCAAACTATTCTAAATTTGGTTTAAGGATGTAAAGTATAGTGATTTTGGGTTTAGCATCTATGGTCCACTATTTCAACATATCCAATTATGCAATCAACTCATTCCTACACAATGCTTAACTTAATTCATAAGGTCAATGTATATCAAATTTCACATGAAAAAATAAAAATTAACTAAGTATATCAAATTATGAAATCAACTCATTCATATACAATACTTAACTTAATTCACGTGTTCAATATTTATCAAACTTCACATGAAAAAACAAAAATTAACCTAAGCTAGTAATCTATTCACCATTCATAAATCAACATATACTTCTAATATATTCTTTATTGTCAGTCAAGCCACTCAACTCATACGCACAAAAATAAAATATTTTTGAAATTTTTCAAAATTCTCAATTTTTTTTATATCTAAAGTAATAAAACACACACAAAAACAAAAGAAAACTCATATTTCCCACCCCAAAATTAAACGAAACATTGTCCTCAATGATTTAAATCATAAGTCCGCATATAAATGGGTGGGGAAGAAAATGCTCCCTTGATATGGCGTGAAATCCAATGGCTAACTTTTCTTATTGTTCTCATTATCTCCTCAATCGTTTGAGTATTGCACAATTCGGTTAGATAAAATATTAAAGATCGAATATTTGAAACAAGTATTACTTAGCCCGAATATTTAATAAACCAAATAAAAGTGATAGAAGTGTTAGTTTGCCTCCTAGCAAGCTCTTGTTTAAAGTCCTTATCTTGACTCTTATTATTTTTAGGTTTTTCATGGTGGCTTGAAAATAGAATTTTCAGCTATGTACTTTATACACTGATTTCACGTCTTTCTTTCATCTTCCACATACTCAAGTTTTTATTGTTGTCCCTATAAACAATTTCATCTTTATCTGGCGTGCTATTGTAGATCTCCGAATGATTTACTCGTTGGCAATCCTCAAAGTAGGAGGGTTGCTTGATTGGATTCTCCATGGTGAAACTCTGCTACTTATCCTCCACCCTCAGAACTATCTTATAATATCAAAATCCAACAAGACTCGACTTGTAGATAGGAATGGCTTTCCCAGGATTATTGGCATTTGATATGCCTCTTCTATGTCCAGGATGATGAAGTCGCTAAAAAAATGAATCCATCGTCTTAATAAGCATGTCTTCGACTATTTTGTAGGGTTGTTTCAGCGATCTGTTTGCCAGCTGAAAGATGATAGAAGCCGTCTTGGGATCTCCCAATCCCTATTTCCTGTAAAGAGGCAATTAAGTTAATACTTGCCCATGAATCAATTAAACAATTAATATCTTGTAAGTCTTCTATGGAGCAAAGCAGAGTGAAACTCTCTGGATCTTTAAGTTTGAGAAAGATCTTGTGCTAGAAGATCGTGCTGCACTCTTCCAAATAGTGTTATTATTTCATGCTCGGGCAACTTCCTCTTTTTAGTCAACATCTCCTTAAGGAACTGAGAATGAATGGGATGTTGACATGCAGCTTTTTGAGGGTCTCTAGGAATTTCATGAATGGTTTCTCCAGCTTGGTATTTTGCAACCTTTAAGGAGAAGGGACTAGAGGTGTCAGTAAAGTGCCAAGATCATTTGCCTTAAGCCGCAGACTGTTTGAAACTATACGTTGATCCTTTTCTATTGCTTCTTCAGACTGCTCCAGTGATTCATTGTCCTTAATAGGTGATTGAGTTCTCTTTGTCTCTATCCTCTTTGCAGTGATTTCTAGCAACTAAACATAACTCCTAGTAGTGATTGCTTGAACATGTTCCTCTGTTGGTTGCTTTCGAAGTCTTCAAGGGAATGGAATGGGTCGCACATAAGCCTTGACATGGGTGGTGGAAGTGAATGGGTTGCATAACTCAACGCCTCAACTGCTAATACATGTTTTCGTGGGTTCTTCTCTGTGTCACTGGACAAGGTATCTTGTGATATGTTGGCCAATGCAGTTGCGATCTACCCTACCAGATTTTCTAAGTTTTGTATAGAGGCATGCTGGTTCTGCATCGCAGTCTCAGTTTTGGTGATGTACTTAACAAGTAGATCCCACAAAGATGCCATCTTCTCTTGTTGTTGCTGAACCACTGGTAGATTGCCCTTTATCTGGTATCTCTGATCTGGTTTCAATTTACTGTCTCTGATAAATCTGTGCATAGCTGACCTTTGTAGGATAACCCATGTGAGTGAAAGCTAAAGGACAACTGGTAGTGATATGATCTACCCACAACAGTGCAAACCGGAGTTGGTTGACGTACCATATTCACAAACTGAGTTAGATTGTCGAG